TTTGGTTGAGTCCATGGATGCAGAACCTGCAAATCTGGAGGGCTGATTGTAGTTTCTAAGTTAGTTTGTGTTTTCTTCTTTGACTCATTATTTACTTATGAGTGTGTTGTTTAATTTTCATATATCTGTGACTTTCCCAAATTTCTGTCTATATTCTGTTGTGGCCAGATAACATGCTTTGTATGATTTCAATTCAATTCTTTTAAATTTATTGAGGCTTGTGTTTTGGCCTACCATATGGTCTATACTAGAGAATATTTTATGTGAACTTGAGAAGAAGTGTATTTTGCTTCTGTTGAGTAGAATGTTTTATAGATGTCTGTGAGGTCTAATTGGTTTATGGTGTTGTTTGAATCTTATATTTACTTTCTGATCTTCCTTCTAGTTGTACTATTCATTACTGAAAGTGGGATATTGAAGTCTCTTACAATTATTGTTGAATTATCTATTTCTCCCTTCAATTCCGTCAGTTTTCTCTTTATTATATTGTGGCTCTGCTGTTAGGTGCATCTATGTTTACAATTGTTATAGCATCTTGATGGATTGACTCTTATTATTATGAAATATCCTTCTTTGTCTCTAATGGCAATTTTGTCTTAAAGTCTGTCTAGTGTGCTATTATTATAGCCATTGCTATGGTTTGAATGTGTCCCCAAAGTTCATGTGTTGAAAACTTAATCCCCAATGCAACAATGTTAAGAGGTGGGACCCTTAAGAGGTGATTAGGTTATGAAGTCTCTGCCCTTATGAATGAACTAATGTTATTATAACAGGAATGGGTTTGTTATTGTGAACGTGGGTTTGTTTTAAAAGCAAGTTTAGCTCTTTCTTGCTCTCTCTCTCTCTCTCTCTCTCTCTCTCTCTCTCTCTCTCTCTCTCTCACATGCTCCCATGTTCTTCTGCATTTTGCTATGGGATAACACAGCAAGAAGGTCCTGACAATACCCTTCAAGCTTGGATTTCCAAGCCTCCAGAACTGTAAGAAATAATTCTCTGATTTTCATAGACTGCTTGGTCTCAGGTATTCTGTTATAGCAGCACAAAAAACAGACTAAGACAGCCACTACAGTTCTATTTTGGTTACTGTTTCTTCTTCCATCTTTTTACTTTCAACCTATTCTCTTGAATCTAAGTGTGTTCTTTGTAGACAGCATATGGTTAAATCTTTTTAAAATTCTATTCTGCCAATTTCTAATAGGAGTGCTTAAATCCATTTGCATTTAATGTAATAATTAATAAAGTAAAATTTACATCTGCCATTCTGCTCTTTGTTTTCTAAAGGTTATGCCTCTTTCTTTTCCCTCTCTATTTCTTTATTAGTTATTTGTTTTGTGTTAAATATATGTTGTTCGATATACTATTTTAGAACCCTATCTTTATTTTGGTATATATTTTTCAGTCATTTTATAAATGGTTGCCTTGGGGATTATAATTAATATTGTAATTTATAACAGTCTAGTTTGGATTACTATCAACTTAATTTTAATAGTAGACAAAATCTTTATTCTACATAGCTCTGTTTCCTTCTCCCTCAATTGTGCTGTTAAAAAGAAGTTGGAGAGTTTGGTAGTATGAGATTCTCCTGCTGGCCTTGAAAGAAAAGATTTCCATTTTATGGAAAGGGCCATGATGCAGAAAATGCTAGTCAACTTCTAGTTGTTAGAGTTGTCCAGGTTGGCCCCTGGCCACATGAGTTTGGAAGAAGATCTCTTGCCTCAAATGAGGCAATCCTCTGCCAACACTGTGATTTTAGTCTTGTGAAATCCTGAGCAGAGAGCCCATCTACACCATGCCCAGATTCTGACCTGCATAAATGAAAGATAACATGTGCTGTTTTAAGATAAGTTTATTGTGCTTTGTTATGCAAAAAAAAAGAGAGAGAGAGAGAGAGAAAGAAAGAAAAAGAAAAAGACTACAGCAGTCTTAACAATTTTAAATTTTTGTAGGGGGAAGCTTATTTATGTATTCTCTTAAGGATCCTGTGCAGCACACAGCATTGTGCAGTCTCCTGAATGGTTAATATTCTTTCCAGTTGATCTCTTATAAATTTACCTCAGCTCCTCTTTTCCCAGGGACATGTACTGAAACCACATTCTGCTGGGTCCCTTTGCCTTAACACACTGCATTCTTGGGTATTTTCCTTTTAGGATGGTTTCAGCCCAGTGACATTGCATAACATTTGTTTTGTCCATGGGAATCATACTGCTTGCTATGGCTAACATCCTAACTGCAGCCACTCCCACTGTTGCTCTTTTCTTGTCCTGTAATCATGGGCAGCCCCTGCCATGACTTTTTGCTTGCAGATATTTTTTATGTGTGAGCCAGACATGAACACCACAGGGTTGTATGCTGAGTTCTCCAAGTAGCCTTCCTGAAGCCCATCTCATAAGGCTTGGTATGTAGCATAATAGTTTCCTCATGCCTCCCCCTTGAGAGGCAGAGTAAAGTCATAGCACAGCACACCAACACATTTTCCAAAGAAATCCTGTTCCCTCACTTCTTTAGCATTCTCCTACACCTTCAAGTAGGTCCAAAGCTAAGTGTTTCAGAAGACTTTTTTTGGTCAACTTCTTTGCTAATTCAATTAGGAATGTGGGAGTTTATTATACTTCGTGTTTTCTTCTGTGTCTTTTGGGACTTTAGCAAAAATTGATCAATCTTTCTCTATAGGCATTGTCATTCCTTTTTGAGTTTTGAAATGGAATGGAGAACCAAGAAGGAGTAAGATGTAATTAGCATAATAAGATCATGGCTACACTTTTAAAAATCAATGGGATTAAAGTTATGCTAAACAGGAGTTATGCAGACTAAAGAGGGTTGAGATAGTTCATGAGGAAACCAGATGAACCAGTGTCTCTTCTTCTTAGCCATTTCCCTCTGACCCACCATCCCCTTTAGCAGATCCAGCAGAAACTGAGACCAAAAATCTTCCTAAATTCCCATAAAATTAACAGAAACTAATCTGAGGAATCCATTTACATCCAGTTGACACCTGAAAGAGCTAAATTTTCAAATAAGATATTACTGTGGGTCAAAACTTTATTATTTTTTAGGAAGAACTGGGTGTCTTAGGGAAAAAGGGGGGGCTTTGGATGGAGAAGACCTTAAAAGGAGCCAAGTGCAGAAGAGAGGAAATAGTAAAAGAAAAAAAGAGAGAGACAATCTGTGCCTAGGTGAGCATCTATGGCAGGGGGCTTCTACAGCTGTAAGCCATCTGACGCTAGATGCCATACAAGGTAAATAGGTCATATCAGGGCACAACCATGGTCTACCTCTCTGTATGACTGAGATGTGAACATGAATTTTTCGATAATGGAACCTTCAACTAGGATCCAGAGAATTTCTAATATTTTTAAATCAAGCAATGTGGTATTTGGAATGAGTATCCCAGTTTCATGGTGTTCTGTAAGTCATCAGCAGTACCCTTACTGTGGAGACCTGAAGAAGATAAGCATCCACCTTACTCTGCCATAGCCTCTGAAAACCAAAACGGAAGACACTTCCAATTTCTCCTAGGTAATTTCTGTGTAAATTAAATAAACATGCTAAGTTTCATGAAGGTTATGTTTCAGATCGCTTTTGGAGAACAATTGATCAGCTATAAATACCCATAGATGTAATAACTGAGTGAACCTAAAATTTGAATCAGTCACGGTTCAGGCTTCAAAAGGGTTCTCACACCAGGTAGTTCCACAGAAATAATTTAATATGGACAATTGATGATAAAGAGTTGAAAAAGCTAAAAATGTAAAACTGGAGCAATGAGGCAACCCTAAAGATAGCTACACCTGGAATCCCCCACTATCCTATGGTTGAGGAAACAGAGGAGGATTTAATGTGAGCCCAGGAGCAAGCACTGGCTGTCAGGAGCTGTACCTGCAGTGCGACTGTCAAGTGAGTGTTGAGGACATGGAGGCAGGGGCTTTACTGTTGGAGATGGAGCTACTGCTAGAGAAGAGAGAGTGTGTGGGAGCAACCCTGAGTTCTCTCTTTCTCCCATCTACATTTCTCCTACTGGACACTTGTAGTGACTGAAACTAGCCAGAATCAGGAATCCTGGAGAATGAAGCTTGCAGAGAATACTGCCAATTTTACATAGCCAAGCAGGGAAAGGATAAGGAATAAACCTGAGCACAAGGAGACAAATGATGCTCTCAAATATTAAGCAAAATATTGTTCAGTTTCATATGTTAAAACTGAGTGATCAAGTTTAAGTAACTGGTCAGAGGTCTCATGATTTTGACCTTTATTTTGTGAAGCTACAGATTTTATTTAATAAGGCAAAAGTTATACAGTCAGCCTTTTATGTACATTTTGTGCTGAACATTTAAAATTATTCTTTATTTTATTTTATGGGCAAGAAGATAAATGCAATGTTGGTGTCATAGACATTAACTGAGAAGATGTTAGTTGTTTTAAAAATACACCATGCGTACTAGACTCAATGAATGACGGTATATCAGGATACCAAGCAATTATGTAGATAAAAATAATTTCTTGTATTCTATAGATTATAACACTATCAATATAGATGTGGATGACACTTCTGTTTATTAATTCTGTGGGAATTAGTACATATAGATAGATACACAGAACATGATAGCCATGTGCACATCAATTACTGGTTTCCAGCTATGGCCCTGAGGAAACGATAGCCTCCTTGGGTCTCAATTTCTTCCAATATAAAAAGGGATAATAAAAACTACTTCATAAGATAACCTTGAATAAAATAAGAAAAGTATGGAAAAATAAATTATAAGTTACTCTATAAATATATAATAGTGGTATCTGATTAAGTGAGTAGCTATTAGCACCCACTCATGTCTTGATTTTTAAAAGATCATCTATAAAAAGTAGCAAAGAAACAAAACAAGAAAAAGAAATGAGAATGATCCTGAAACTCATTCACTCTGTGACTTGGTTAAGTCACATAACTTCTCTTGATCTTTCTTGAATAGCCAGTCCTGCTTCTAAGGCCAGAAGAGTGCTGGTCTGGTGTATCACACCCTCCGTCGGCAACAGAAACGGTTCAGCTTGCAGCGTCCATCAATTTTCTCATCCTCCATGCATACCTTCCTACATTTTCCCCGACCAAGCTTGCACGGTTCACAGACAGCAAACTCACCTGTGCCAAGAAACAAGCTGCTGATATTGCTTTCCAGGTACTCTCTTGAAATGGGAAATATCTCAAAGGCCACCAGAAAAAAGGCAGTTGTAAATATAAATATAAAGAAAATTTTTGAGAGTATTTTCAGTCATATTTTTCAAATCATTCCTGCTTTTTGCAGTATCAATTTGGGGAGAGTTGATGTTTAAGTAAGAGGTAATCACAATCCCTGCTCTCCAAGTGTTTATAATCTTGCATTGGTCAAAAGTAAGCCACAGGCAAAGTGATATTATATATTACAGAACTATAAATATACATACCTAATACTGCTGTAAGGTTTGTTGGATGAAAATGGTATGGATAGCTTGTGTTTTTTGGAAAGACACTTGAAGGTGGAGTTAAGAGACAGGTTCAATTCTTGTTTGGGCCTATCAGTGACTGTGTCCTCACTAAATTGCTTATCTCAGCTTTCTCATTTGTCCAATGGACATTCTAGAAGTACCTGTCTACACTCTTAATTTGTTTAGTGGTCAAATGGAATAATTTATTTGAGAATATGTTGGTTGTATTAGTACCTCAGAGGGATGTTTTGAAGAATAAAGGACATAATCCCTGTGAAATTATTCATAGAGTACCTAGTATGTAGTAAGTGCTCACTGACCAGTAGCAACCTTAACATTTCTCACTCTGAAATTCTGTCCAAACACTTTTCAATTTTGTTCACAGTTGCCCAGAAATATTTCTTTCAGTTCTGCTTACAATGGGTTTTCTTCCTATAAAAGATGACTGCTCACAGAAGATCTGTGGACTGTTTGTTATGAATAGCTCTTTTGTAGTGTGATGCATTTTTTTCTGAACCATTATCACTCTTTCCCATTTGATCCTCCTTAAAACAGTGGCATGTATTTGTAATATATTCATTAGATTTAAAAATAGAACTTATAAGAGATGAGCATGTATGTTCTTAGAGCCGTGGTAATTGGTTGGTACAAGATCAAACCTATGACCTTGGTTTAATTAGCACCATGAAATAATGAAAAAAGCCACTAGGTCCAAATCTCTATGGCCAAAATTACAGTTTAGTGACAAAGATATTTCTCTGTGAATGGAAAAATCCAAAGAGGATGCTCGATAGCACCATGAAATAATGAAAAAAGCCACTAGGTCCAAATCTCTATGGCCAAAATTACAGTTCAGTGACAAAGATATTTCTCTGTGAATGGAAAAATCCAAAGAGGATGCTCGAAACAAGAGGAAGAGAAGACAGAGTTAATGGACTGGGATTTCAGGCAATTTTGCCTTCACTGCTATCTCTGTTCCCTCCTTGTCTCCAGCAGTCAGAGATGGCTAATGGGGGCAGAGTTCCTAAGAGAAAAGGAAAAATTACATACAAGGGATTTAACTTACCTGCTGGAAATGACTGGGAATAATCAAGGCCTGCCTGGCACACTAAATTCAAAACAAAACACATTTTGGAAATTAAAATCAATGCAGGAAATGACACCATATAAAACAATATTCCCAATTCCACATGTGACATCACACATCAAGGGACAGCACATCACAGAAAGTTGCAATGTTTATTCTATTTCTCAAAGCCAGCATTTCTGGTAACCAGTTAGACCAAGTTACCAACAATAAATAAATACATAAATAAATAAATAATAAAGAAAACACTATATTTGGTTTGCTTTTAGAAAATGCCACTGCAGGTCCAAGAATTTCCTGTGAGAAGCACTGTGGGAAGCTGATCTTTACTCTTGATTTAGAGTGGTACGCAGAGGATGCATTATGGCTTATGATCTGCACCATCACAATCCCATCCATTTTCTTTTACCTGTTGGCAGTTCAGCCAAAATGAAGAACAAAGCCAAGATAAAATAAAACATCTTCCTGCTCAGGGCCATCTTTGAGGGAAGATTCTTCAGAACAGAAGTTTGGAATTTCTTTGAGAAGACAAGAAGCTCATTTATATTTGAAAGTAATGGGATAGGCTCTTGGTCAGTGAAGTGAATCAATAAAGAAAGCACAATTATATGCTCCATTTCCCAGGATCAGTGATGATATCATGGATAACGACCTCTGGCACCCAAAAGCCTTATATTTGGGGGAGTCTGACTGGTGTAGCGGAAAGAACACCAGGCTAGGGGTTGGAAGGCCAGAGGTCATGCACGGCACTGCCATAGCGATACAAGGATGAGGAGCGGTTACTCCTTTCATCTCTCCCAGCTTCAGCTTTCTGGGAGAAAACGAGAAACAGCTTACATATTCTGCCTGCCTCTCAAGGCTGTTTTAAGGATCTAGTATGATTCTGAGGCAACAGTGTTTTGAATATATATAGAATGCTCACCAGGAGTCCCACTACCCTGTAAGGGCTCAATAAATGTGGACTCTTACTTTCCTAGCTTTAATTTTTATTGTCTGTAAATATCACAGGGAGAAAGGAAGAGGAGCAGTCATTTTTTCCAAGTTTGTTCTGTAACAATATCACATCACAGACCAAGGCCATAATTACATCTTTTTAATTCATTAAGAACATGGTTATCACAAGTAATATACATATCACTGCCTTTCCCTCACCTCCAAATATATGTATTGTATACACATAGGCAACCTTGTTTTCTGGAATGAAAAGTAGAATAATTAGAAAATGTAGACTATGAAGTCAGACAGGTAGGATTACCAACCTATGACCTTGGTTTAATTAGCACCATGAAATAATAAAAAAAGCCACTAGATCCAAATGTCTATGGCCAAATTACAGACCTTGGACAGATTGCATAATTTTTTGAACCTCAGTTTCCTCATCCTTAAAATGAGAATACAATAATGGAACATACTTCACAAGGTATTTGAGAGGATTAGCTGAGATAAGTATGTAAAGAGCTTGGCAGAGTGCCTGGCTTTTATTAATAGTCCTATGTGTGTATTTCCTTCTATCCAACTTTGAGCCTAACTTTTCTATAAACTCTTTTTCAAGTCTATTAATTCATAATGAACCTTTTCTGACCTATAATATAAAAGGCACCAGTACTGATATTTTTGTTTGTTGCAAACAATTCCGCTTAAGGAGCTAAGGGAATATATATGTACACAGCGGATAGAGGGCTGAACCTAAGAACTCTGAGCTTTTGGGCATTTTTTATAAGCTGGAACAACGCCAGCTCTACGAGCCAGTGCAGTCACACAGTCCCCTGCCCTCCGCTTGGGGTTTAATGCAGTCACTGTATTAAAATTCTTTTTTTTTTTTTTTCCTTTTTTTGTCTTTTTTCGTGACCAGCAATGGATTGCAACCCTCAGTGTCGCGCCTGTACCGGACCGGGACCGGCAACGGTATTGCAACCCTCGGTGTTGCGCCCGCACCTCGCTCAGCCAGTGAGCGGCTGGTCTGTATGTTGGATCCGAACCCTCCGCGGGAGCGCCGCCGCACTCCCAAGCGGCGCACTGTATCAGTGCGCCACCGTGCCGGCCCATGTATTAAAATTCTTAATAATTTACCTTTGAATATGTGCTCTGTAAATAGAGTCTGATGGGATGATGGAGCATGCTCTGGGACTTTGGAGCCTCAGCTTACACATGCTCCAGGCTTCCTCTCACTCTTCACTTTCCAGGGAGAATTCTTAGCTACCTGTTCCCCACCTCCTAGCACCGTGGGCCCTGCCTGTCTTCCCCCTATCTACTCTCATCCAGCAAGTGTATCCCCATGCCCTAGGGAGTGTGACAGTTAATCGCAAATGAAACTACTATGACAGATTAAGAGACCTGAAAAAAGAAAAAAGCTTTATTATTTTGTTAGTTTTAGTGACACCTTTTTCCTGTTTTTTGAACAAGGGAACTTGTATTTTCATTTTGCACTAGGCCCAGCAAATTATGAAGCTAGTCCTGATCTGGAGTGAACTTCCAGTATTAGAAAAATAAGATAACAGTTGACCCTTTAAAACTGGCTCAAATAAAAGGACTTGTTCTATTCATGAGAATCACAAACCCTCCTTATTATATAAATGAGCCAGAGAGGTCCCTGCATATTGGTCCTTATGGTATTTACTTCTTTAGCTCAAAGCTCCCTGGCTGCAAACTCAAATTTTTACATATTCTTTTACTTTAAATATAGCTTAAATAGGCATATGCTTAGCTATTTAGGACCTGCCTGCTTTGCATACCCTGCAAAATTGCACCCAACATTTGCTAATCAAACATCACAAACTCTGTAGTTACAAAACCCCAAACTGCTGCTGCCCTGTGGAACACTGTGACCCAGAGACTCCCCACCTTCCTGCTGAGTGATGTCATCTAGACACAGAAGCCTCTTCCTGATTCCCCCCTCCCCTGAGAGTTCCCTTGCTCTCATGCCACTGTCTCCAGAAGGTTTCCTAGGAGGGACATTCCCTGTCATGCGACCTCGGCCAAGTGCAGCCCAGTACAGCTTCATGTGTCACTGCCTCATGTGGCCCTGCCTCCTCCTTGATCAGCCCTGAAATCTTCAACTCACCACACTCCTGTCCATAGAATTCACCTGATCAAATGGGTATGCTCTTTCCACAGGGAGGTGTGGACAGGAAGAATGTTCTTTCAGCAGTTTATAAGCTGCACTTTCTTCAGGAGAGTTAGTTACCTATTTGTGAGAGCTGACAAGGTACTAAACATTCTGAGCTTAAATGAGGAGCCACATAAAGCCAGGAACATAAAATGGAGTATCCACTGCCTTATTAACATCTATTTGTTTCATAGGGTGTGACGCCGAGTCTCTCATGTGTGCAAACTTAATTTGCTGGTAAATTAGACTCACTCTGTAAGAAACAAAGAAGATAAATGAGATGAAATAAGACTGAGATTGCATATAACTAAAAAGGTCTGAAAGTTTGTCTCTTCCTGTAAATTTTTTGAGTGAGGTTTGGAAGGGAATAGAGCAAATGTGTAATTTCAATCTATCACTCTCAACTTGATTATTCATAATACGTAACCAATATTCACAGAGAATACCTAACAAAAGTATAGTTACTGAGACTAAGAACAACAGGATACTGTTTAAAAGTTTCTTTAGGTAAAATTTTTCTTTGGAAATAATTTTAGACTTACTGGAACATTGCAAAGACAGGACAAAGAGTTCTCATATACCCTTTCCCAATTACCCCTATTCCTAATATCTTATATAACCAGGGTATATTTGTCAATATCAAGAAACTAACATTGACATATTACTATTAACTAAAATACAGAATTTGAGTTTGTCCGACATTTTCTCATGATTATTCTGGAGTTTGGGGTTTGGGAAAATGACCCCACAGAACTTCAAGTGTCCTTCTCATTCTGTCCATCATATCAATGTTCACATGATAACAACATGACTGATTACTGTTGGTGTTGACCTTGATCACCCCATGAAGGTGTGCCTGCCAGGTTTCCACATGGTAAAGATTACTTTTCATTTTCCATATTCTATTCTTGGGAATAAAGTCGCTTTCATTTAGGTTGAAGAGAATTAAGCTCCACCTCCTGAAGGGAGGAGTATCTACACATAACATTTGAAATTCTTCTCTTAAAAAAAGCTGTCCCTATTTTCTCATTCATTTGTTTATTCAACAATCTATTGATATCAGTATGACAAGATGAAGCAAGTTGAAGATCTTACTCTCAAGGTTTTATGATATTTTATCAAATGCTCTTAAGGCATTTCGACTTCCAGTAGCAGCAATGATAGTGAGCTGAGAAGGAAGGAAGCTTATCTCCCTAATTCCATGTTTTCTCAATGAAGGGCATTCCACTCCCTGTCTCACAAAGGATAATAATTAAAATGAATATATAATTCAGGTCTTTCTCTGCACCCACTTAACTGATTTACTCCAAATTAGTGAACAAGAGCTAAGCAAGTAGGTGGGAACCTATAACATTTGGAGTGCTTTTTTTCATGGAGAAGGATGTCATACTGTTAAAGGCATTGTTCTTGTTTAGAATTTCTAAGAATATGTAGATTTCTACACATTTTAACAATTAAAATACTGCACACACACATGAAATCTTAAACAAATACCCTATCAGTTCATAACAAACCCTGAAGCTGTTTGTGGACTATAATGGATAATATATGTAACACCAAATAAAAGCCCAAGACTGGATAGCTTTACTGCTGAATTCTACCACACCTTTAAAGAGGAATTAATACCAATTCACTTCAAACTATTCCAAAAAATTGAAACAGAAGTCAGTCTTCCAAACTGATTCCATGAGACCAGCATCACCTTGATACCCAAACCCAAACTAGACAAAGACACAACAAAAAAAGAAAATTACAGGTGAATATTTCTGATGAACATAGATGCAAAAATCCTCAACAAAATATTAGCAAACAAATACAGCAACACGTGAAAAAAATTATAAACCATGATCATGTGGAATTCATCCCAGGGATGCAAGTGTGGTTCAACATACAGAAGTCATTAAATGTGATACACCACATAAACAAAATCAAGGACAAAAACCACATCATTATCTCAGTAGATACAGAAAAAGCAATCAACAAAATTCAACATCCCTTCATGATAAAGGCTTTCAGCAAATTAGGCATAGAAGGAAAATATCTCAACACAACAAAAGCCATATATGACAAACCAATGGCCAATATAATCCCGAATGGAATGAACAGGAACAGAAACAAGACAAGGATGCCCACTCTTTCAGCATGTATTAGAAGTACTAGCCAGAGCAATCAGGCAAGAGAAAGAAATAAAGGGCATACAGACTAGAAAATATAAAGTCAAACTGTTCCACTTTGCAGATGACATGATCCTGTATGGAGAGAAGCCTAAAGATTCTCAAAAAAAAACTCTTAGATCTGATAAACAATTTCAGTGAAGTTGCAGGATAAAAAATCAACACACGAAAATCAGTAACATTTTTGTACTCCAACAAT